ACATTGAAAGAACGTAGGTAAAAAGCTCCGGAAAAATTAGTGTATTGTTACTAAGGTCTACAGAGCCATTTCTAAGCCGAATAGCCTAATCAAAAAAATTGGAGCTAGCAGGTCATAACAAAATATCCAAATCAAGATGTGCGCCAGCGCCATTGGAATACAGAACAAAAGTGACAAACAAATGAAGTGGTGGCTAAAAAAGAACTACACTCGCGAAGTAGGGCAATTTTAAAGTGTACGAAGAAAAGTTTGGTTTATAGGAACTTCTTGTTTCATAATTGTTGTGCTTACTTCTATTTCTAGTGAAAGTGTTGGGTGAAGAGATTCGAAAGTCGATTACACCAGAAGACGACAGCGGATTCCTCTTGATAAGCTGTCGATTGGCTTTACTAAAACATTCATGCTGACGCTGTTTCCGAGGTAATCTCCTTCGATTTTGGTGAAAAGGTTTTAAGCTTTTGTCCGTCATATGACGAACATCAGCAGAGCAAGGTATCATCGTCAGAACTAAATTCAAGCCAACGAGTCAAGAAAACTCATCAGCACATCCCTAAAAAGCGGTAAATATACTTTACATCTGGCCTCTTTGATCAAGTATTAAGTGATTTGGTTGGTTTTCTTGACTCGTTAGCTTGAATTTAGTTGTGACGATGATACTTTGCTCTGATGATGTTCGTCATATGGCAGACGAAAGCTTAGCACCTTTTCACCGAAATCGAAGGAGATTACCTCGGAAACAGGGTCAGCATGAATGTTCCAGTAAAGCCAATCGACAGCTTATCAAGAGGAATCCACCGTCGTCTTCTGGTGTAATCGACCTTCGAATCTCTTCACCAAATACTTTCACTCGAAATGGAAATAAGCACAATAATTTTAAAGTTTCTATGAAATTAGAATTATCCTTAACGAAATAACCGAAAAATAACAACTTATTATAATATAGCAATTGATTCACAACATGATGCCGTAATACCTTAAATGACTTGAACGTATGTGAAGAAAAACATGTCAAGGCCTAAGGTAAAAAACGCAATCTTCTTTAGTCATTTTCAATTTATTAGAGTTCATTTTCGCTTCGAAGAACTTCGTCGTCTGCCATTATCCCTATATGTATTCAAGCAACGGCCTGATGCTGGAAGAACACAGGAAGGGACTCAGAACATGGTACGTGCTCCTCATGTCTCTGAGAACACACTTGTGAAAACAATGTCAAAAAAACTTGAATAATTTATCTTACTATAGCACAATGTCTTCAAAAGCTTAAATCAAGATAGAAAAACTGCTATAAGCGAACAAAAATGCGAAATGCCCCCACAAGAGACTAGGACTCAGAGGTTTTGTTTTTTGAGGTAAGTTTGGGCAAACGGAGTAACGGCTTGTACCTGTCGCACATTCGTAAATATTTTGTATATGGACACGGCCTTCCATGGCCAAGGGGTAGGCGTCTTCAAGAAATGTGTGTGAAAGCCTTCAGGGTTAAATGTTATATGAAATGTGCTATTAAATATTGAGGAATCAAGGGAAGGGGAGTAAGCCTTCCAAATTTAATCTTGAAAGTTGATCCTAATTCGTTTACAACTTTTACTGAACCTTGGATCGTAAAAGGCCTTTGATTTAAAGGAATGCATTGACTCTGCTTAGATCTTAACAGAACCGCCAAAGGTAATCTTGATTGGGCAGTGTATTTACTGAGGCAACATATAAATAAGCCATACAGACAAATTAATAAGATTATCATTAGCAGTGCATGCCTACAGGGAAAATCACATTCATACATAGGTCAAAGAACCTATAGTACGATCTAGTAGCAGTGCTGAAGGTAGTAAGAACTAAGAATATCCTTCATCGAAAATGCAGATTTAGAGACCTGATCTGTCTTGAAATCTCCGACTAAGTGGTTTACATGCATTTTGAATAAAGTTGTTTTGTAAAGAAGATAGAAGTAATCGGAGGGAAATAAGCCATCTCGTAAATGTGTAAGGATCCGCCAAGCTAAAAGGGTCAGGATGAGCTAAGATACACATAAGCGGAAATGAGTAAGTAAATGTGTAACTCTGCGTATCTGCATGAACTGTACAAGCCTCAGGATTAATTGAATGGAAGCCCAAAGAAGACCTATAGTAGATATAACATTCCATAGAAAAAAATGTAATAAATTATAGAAGGTGGATTTTGTAAGTTTATGGAGAAAATGCATGATGAGCCAAGAAAGTATTTAATTGAATAATTCAAAAAGTTCTATGTTGTGCTCAGCAAAAATAGCAGCAGCTTTGTGCAGTATCTAAATAGTTGAGAAAAAGCGAACTATGGCAAAAAAGAATCCTGAGTACAGATAATTAAAAATAGCTTTAAAATGCGTGAGAGATCACAAATAAAAACTTGAATCGTTTAAATATTGTGGGGACTAAGTGAACCCGATAAACATCTGTAACCAATAAATAGCATGCAAGATCCCAATCCCTGACAATCTCCTCTAAGCAAAAATCCAAACTTTGCCAGCTAAATATCTGCACACTCCTACCGTTCGTGTTTTAGGTCCCGTCTGAAATCGACTAAGGCGTCTTGAATAACCAGCTTGATATCAACAGTGTCGGTGAATGCAAGCTCCTGATTGCGTTGTAGGATAACGGCGATAACCATGATAGTTTCCAGGGTCAAAGATCTATATGCCGGATCTGCGATCGGACGCAGCAGACTCTCAACTTCGTCGATAAAGGTCAAATCAGTTGCAGTCATGTCCGTCAGTATCGGTTGCTGTGACACAAACAACAAAGGGATAAAATTAACTTATATTAGCAAATCAACCTCAATAGAAGAAATTGTGTTAAATTAAAACGCATCTTGCAAAGTGTTTTCGCATCCC